CTAGTTCTCAACCCATGGATGGTATATGACATTGGCATGGTATCACTCCATGATCGCATAGGAACACGTGTACTCCAGAGCACTGGAGAAGACGTGATTCTAGTGAGGGATTGGGACAGGTTGACAAGACACCAGAGAGAATATTTTTGTAGAAGGTACAAGTTGCTACGTCCAAGTGTTTATGGAACAGAGGAAGACCCCAAGACGTATGCGCCAAATTTTGAACCTGGAGTTTCTCAGTGGATGGAGTTGGCACAAACTGGATATCAACAGTTTTTCTTCATTCGTGCTTGGGAGAATGGACGCCAATGGGCTGAAATTCTGACAGACCATGGTATTCAATCTATAGAACTTTCAAGTTTCTTGGATATGTGCAGAGATCCCAAATTGCTGGGTTGGAACTTTGGTATTCCAGAACCTCAACACAGTGGAGGAAGCATTCAACAATCCTTTATTTGCCAAATTGCACTATCGCTTCAAGCAGGAGGAAGAGATTGGTCGTGTCATGCACCTTTTGTCTGAACTTGTTTGTGACTTTTTCATCAAGGTGCTTCCCAAGTGGGTTCTTGACCATTCGATCTTGTGGGAAGAGTTTATGATTTTGGATCCAGTCACAAATCTCCCTGTTTACAAGACTTCAGAGGATGCCTTATATGCAGAACGGGATCCAGAGAAGTATCATAAGCATTTTGCTATGAACTTCAAGAAATTCCGTTTTTCTGCAAGAGTTGTGTGGTATTTGATTGACCGTGACAGGAATCATTTAGAGAGTTTTCTTCACAACTCCAACAGCAGATTTGTGCAACATGCATGCTATCAACTTCGTGAATATGTTCAGGCGCGTGTTGCAGTTTCTGATCCCTTGTATGAGGTGATCAAGAAGGAAGAGTTTGAACGCCAATACAATTCCAAGTTTTTGGAGGCGATTTCTTGCTCTCGTGTTGTAGTTGAACCTGTAAGTTCAGGGACGTATGAGCCATCATCGAAGCTGAACTTAAAGGTACTACAAAACATTCTGAAGGGTGTCTACAAGATCCAGAAGAATGAGGAGCGTGCCAGAGAACGTGAGGAAGAAGAAGAACAGGCAGCTCAAAACATCTCAAACTTGTTGGCAGATGACATGGAGCTTGATTTTGATGATGACAACGTGCCAGTATGGCGCTCCATTGTCAACAAGTATAGAGAAGGTGATCAGGTGCTACAAAGAGAAGCAGTGAAGATTACTCATCTTTTCAAGGACAAAAAGGACAATGAGAAGGCAACAGAAGTTTTCAGTTCAGAGAGGACAGATTTTCATGAGACCTCAGAACCTCTTCCAAGGACCATGGGAGAAAATCTTGTAGAGGACTTGCTCACCAAGGATGTCGCAGAACAAGCTTTTGAGGCAGGTGAAGAAGTTCCTCCTTACACAAGAGTCTCCACTATCGCTGGTGGAATCTACACTGGTAGTATGACGTTGATGGAAGATGAAGATATGGAAGAGGAAGTTCTTGAAGAAGATCCTGCAGTTGAACCCGTAAAAGATGAAGAAGTTTTTGGTGAGAATGCAGGTATTTTTCCTTCAGAGGAACCAAAGATGGAAGTGGACCAGGAGGAAGCCAAGGATGAGTCAGCACCACACTTTCTGTCAAGAGAGATAGGTGAGGACTCAGCTGCATCGCACTTACCATCAGGTGAGAAGGATGCTAACCTTGATGATACTTCAAGTCTGCCGAAATCTAAGAGAAGCTGCCTGAATAAAATTCCTGATCCTCATTTTCATGAAGAAGTTCAGGATGATGCAACTCTTGAGGAGAAGAAGAAGGCGGTGGAGAAGATAAGAGAGGTCAGAGAGGATGATGGAGAGAAGAAATTGGAGGCTGAAATCCAAAAATCTTTTCCATCTGAAGTAGTTGTTGATACAGATCCAGTGGATGCTGACAATACCTATGAGTTGCATACCTCACCTTTGAGGTTGTTTGGAGAGCTTACAGGAGAACCAGGTATTGGCTTTTATCAACAATGCTTCAGGGAAACTCACGCGAGATTGTTGAACCATGTTTGTTTCAGAAAAGGTGAGCTTTCCCATCCTCACTATCAGCCAAGGGTCAATGAGAACGATTTTGTTCGATCCATTCGAAAGGTCTGTCCAGTACCTCCACCTGATTGTTATGAGGACAGCTCAGAGCATGATTTGAAGAGATTTTTCATCAATGATGACCGCATCGTTTATTTGGATGACAAGTATCAGGTCGATCCAAAGGCCCTTGAAAGGGCAGAGCATGCTCGAGAAGAATTGGAGGATACGAAGAAGGAACTTAAGAAGGAACTGGAATCATATGGTCCCAAGGGACCCAGTTGGGACTTTGTCACCTTCTATGAAGAGCTGTGCAGAAGGTTCCTCAAGGGAAGAATAGAAGAACAATATGGAACCAACTTATTGGCCAGCTCAGAGTCCTTGACGTTTTTATCCTGGAACTATGGCAACATGGTTCGTGGTCAGAAGTACACCACACCAAGGTTTCTCCAAGGACTTGATCGTGCAATGAAGCCACGCAAGCAGAGTGCCATGTCACTTCAATATGAGCAATTCGAAAACAATCTTTTCTTCAACATGCTCTTCTTTTTACGTGCACATGTCGTGATTCTTCAGGAAGCTCAGCTCCTTGTTCCTGCCAAGGAATTTATTGAGCAACAGAATTGGACAGTTTGTTTCAATGATTGGGAGAATCTTGCAGTGACGGCTAGATTGTCACCAGATGGCTATATCAAGATCATTGCTGGACATGACCAAGACCTTGGTCACTGTCAACAGCGTGATGTAACTTGGGCTATCTATGAGATTTGTTTTGGAGAAACAAGGCCTCGTCAGGACTTCAAGGATGCAGACTATGAATTTGAGGACTATGGTCCTAAGGAACAGCGTGTTCCACTTACTCGAGCGAACATGCATACCATCAGAGTCTGTAATTATCATGTTGATACACATCGTGCTGTGGATGCCCACTCACTGACAGGAGAACAGACAGCATTGATGCTGTATGAATGTTTGTATATGAGGTGGACATCATTTCTGGTGATGCAAATAGTTTGGCCTACAGAATGTCTGGGTACAAAAGGCAACCAATGGCTAACTATTATTACAGCACCATGCAGCATTGGATCCGCAGGTTTTCAGAAGCCCGTGTAAAAGCAGATCCTGGTATCAAAGCACCTATTCCCAGAACATTTTACAGTTCATCTTCACTTGTTCTCAAGCAGTGTGAAGATTACTTTGAGAAACTCTGGGAAGAACACTCTACAGAAGAGAAAGAAGTATACCAGGGATCAAAGCTTGGCGATACATGTTTGTCTACCATTGTTGAATGGGGTCATTCGATGAGTGAAGAGGAATATGAAAATTCCACAGTGAGCACGAAGGAGTTCATCTGTAATTTTTCAGAGAACTTTGCTATGATTGACACGGAGGTTATGTGCTCAAGGCCCTCTGACGAGGACAGTCATGGTCCAATGTTTATTTCACTCAGACCAGCTTCCTATTCATCTGGAGACAGAAGACAGTATCGCATGGGAGCAACTCTTCATGAGGCGAAATTGCGGAGGAAGGAGAGACAGAAGGAGAATAAAAGGAAAGGAAGGCCGCCAACTTCTGATCAAGCAGCTCCATCGACTGCAGCGGCATAACCTCAGAGCAAAGGCTAACTTTTAATGATAGCTAGGAAGTGAAGATACTTCTGACCACAGTTGATACTTTGCTTCCAGGCTTGACTTTAAGTTGCCAGGCTGAAGTTTTACACTTTAGCATGCAGATAAATACAGTTTTACAAAACAGATATTATCTGCAGGTAGATATGGACAGTTTTTCAAAACTGATGATGTTTACCACAGTCGCTCTTTATGAAATGACCTCTAATGGACAACCATTCATGGTTGATGATTAAGTCATTTCATAAGTTTGCATTTGTAGTGCAAGTTTTGTACATACATTTGCCGGTGTCTCCTTCCTTTTGTTTTTGGTGTCAATGAGAGTAAGAGTCCTTTTGATGCAGTGTATGGAAGCGGCCGAGACCACTTTTAGAGAAGAACAATTCTCGGACCGAGAGTTGACGCTCCTTGCACTTTGCAAGGCATCTTAATTCGTTGCAGTTTGTGCGGTCTTGAATTTTTAGTTCTTCGTTACGCGAGTGTCGTTTACTGCTTTTACAGGTCTCTCTCTGTGCAAGAAAGCCGCTTTCCCTTGAATTTAAGTTTCTTTTAAGCTCTGGCTATTTAAGGGCTATTGAGCGCCGGTACATGGTATCTTCGCCGGTGAACGATACAGTCTCCAGCCGAGATACATTGTCTTTGACCTTGTATTTGAGGTGAGTCAGCTATTGCTCCCTCACTGTATTTAGTATACCTAGAGATTACCTTTTCTAAAGTGTGAAACACACTGGAATTGGTAAGTACAGGGCACCGTGGTTTCTTTTTAAGCTTACTAGAGCTTGCTGGACTGTTTTAGCCTTACGGTAGAAAAAATAGTGTGCGACATACGCAATAGGCAGGAGTGGACATGAATTTTGTGCCTGCTGAAATGTAGAGGCCTACTTGTACAGGTTCCACTCCAGTGGCCTATCTAGTGTGTCCATGCTTGACTGCCATAAGGCTCAAGACGCTAAGAGGATAAGACTCTGCGCATAAAAGACACTAGCGGTCTGCACCTCTACCGTGTACGCCCTAGTCACTCTTTCAAGGGGGGGGGGG